ACAACAAAGGCGTCGCTGACGGCAAAGGCAATGTACGGCTGCGCCGAGTTTCTTGCAATGATTGCGACGTAGGTTCCCACCTGCAAAGGCCACTGGCCGTTTCCGGCGTGGATGGTACCGAGGGGAATGACCTGCGAGGTCACGGGCTCCCGGCAATTTCGCGTGCCGCACGCCCACGACCAAATGTCGGGGTTGGTCAGGTCCATGCTGTTGAAGGTTTCGTCCAGGCGGTACAGACCCACCCAGTCGTCCCGGTCGGCCTGGCAATTCGTCAGAGAAACCGTAATCTCCTCCGCCTGCGTGTAACAGTACTTGGAAACCTTCATTTCGTTTCCGGTGCAAGCGGTGGGAGACGCCGACGGTTCCCCCGTGGTCGGGGATTCGGTGGGTTCCTTGGTGGTCGGGGACAGAGTCGGCGAGGCCGTGGGGGGTTCCGTTGCGGACGGCTGCGGCGTGAATCGCACAATCATGCTCGTCGGATGGACGGTCGGCGAGACGGTCGGAACCCCCGTCGGGGGAAGGGTCGGAGAAAGCGTGGGAGCCTCGGTTGCGGAGCATTCCGTGCAGCATTCGCAGCCCTGCTTGTCGCAATCGACGACGAGGACGTCCACGCCCTTGAGCTTGCAAACGTCCTTGGGCAAAGCTCCGGTCAGGTTGTTGTTTCCAAGGGTCAACACTTCCAGGTTGTCCATGTTCCCGAGGCCATCGGGAATCCATCCGGTGAGATTGTTGTTGCTCAGGGCCAGTTTCTCTGAAAGCAGATAGAGAGAGAGAGAGAGAGACGAGGAAACAGACAGGCATTGAGCAATCGGAACGAACAATTGAGAAGGCAGCACACCGGCATAGAAACGAATAGGGTTGCATTGCGTACCAAGTGCCTCCAAGTTTCCGATTTCCCACGGGATGTCTCCCGACAAATTGTTGAAATCCAAATAGATTTCGGCTAACGAGAGGATTGGTTCGAAACGTCATTGAGARATGGCACAACGCAAGAAATGAGAACGAGAGGAATTTGTGACTCCGACACACGAACACAAAGTAGACAAAACTTACTCAGTGTTTCCACATCCACAATGCTGTACGGTATCTTTCCCGTCAATTCATTGTCCGCAAGATCCAGGATTTCTAGACAAAGGAGCGAGGGACAAAGGATTCGTGTCAGAAAGCAGATGTGCCGGCACAAGAACAGTGTGCCGAAGCATCCAGAAACGGGGCACCAAAACAGATGGATCCGAAGAAACGCATCGACGTACCAAGATCGGGAATGTTGCCGAAATCCATATTCAGGCCACCGACGAGGTTGTTTCGTCGAAGCCGCAGGGTCTCTGTTCCAGAAAACAAAGGGGGGAGGGGGGGGCAAGTGCAGTGCAGTGCAGTGCAGTGCAGCGAAACAAGAGTTCGGTGAGCTAGAGCATATTGGAGGTAAAGCAAGGGTTCCAAAGCAGCAAACGGTTTTTGTTCCACGATCGGAATGGTGCGGTGCGGTGCGGTGATCGATCCCAACCTACCGAGAAACGAGAGATCTTCGAATTCTTTCGGGATCGTTCCCACCAAATCGTTCCCTTCTAGATTGAGATGGACTGTGGATCGAGTTCAATCGSATTTGGCAAATGGCAGGGGTTAGACAGAGCAGGAGCWCAARAACGAGGGCAAGCGCCAACWCCAGTCTCCATCGAATTCTCGACATCGCCTCGGCGGCTGTRMGGTACCGTRYTCTACTCACCTAGAGAACTCGAGAGAAGCGCCAGTTCCGTGGGCAGGGTCCCCCCCAGGACCTGGTCCCGGATGTCAATGGTCTCGTATATGCCTTGCTGGTCGCAGGGAGATTCTTTCTTTCCGTTGTTTTTGGTCGAGCTGCTGAACCACGTGCACTCGTCCGTGTAGGTCTTCCAGCCCGCCAGCGAGGGGCTCCCGTCGCCGACGCCGTCGAGGGACTGCGAGAGGACCGCCAGCGTCCACCGCTGGACGAGCCTGTCCTCCGAATAGGACCCGTAGGCCGGGTCCTCGGAGAGCCACCGGGTCGCCTCGTACTGAATCGATTCGGGCGCCTTGGTGACGGCCCTGGCGTTGCGGATCCCCCCGCGGACCTGCAGCAGGTCCAGCAGGTCCTCGAAGCGGAGCCCGAAGAGGGGATTGGTTGTGGGGCTAGTGGTGGGGCTGGCGGTGGGAAGGGGGGTCGGGGACCCCGTGGTGGCTTCCGGAGGGGATTCCGGGGCAGCAGCACCGTCCCCCGCCTGCTCCTGCTCCTCCTGGGCGTCTCCAAAGGTTCCGCTGGGTTCTTCGTCGTCTTGCGTCGGAGAGCCCGCCCCGGTGGCACTCGTGCCGCTGGGCGTCCCCGCGTCGAGGTCCGGCCAAAAGTCGAGGATGCTCTCCGATTCGGCCTCGGCAAAGGCCGCCGCCGCGCCCGGGGAGGTCTCCCCCCCCCGCATGCCCGAGAGGGCTACCGACAGGGCCACGATCGAGACCAGCAGGATGAGGGCCAGCACCGCGGCGACGACGTACACGCGCCTCGACCGGAAAAACGAGGATTTCGGTTTGGATCTCGATCCGGATCTGGATTTCGATTTGCCGGAAAAGGACTCGTCCCCGGTCCGGGACGACCGGTGGCTCCCGGCCGGGACACGGATCATGCCCGGCGGGGTTTCCGGCGCCGTGTCGCCGCTGCCGTCGTCGCTGGCGCCGCTCTSGGCGTTTCCGGTTCCGCTTGCCTTTGCCCTCGTGGGTTTTTTCTTCTTTTCGGGCGTGGTGTATTCCTGGAAGAGGCGGATGCGGGGCTTGGAATCGTTCCGGGAACCGTTGCCGGTGAAAAAGGCCTTGGTGGCCTCGTGGACCGTGTCGTTGGCGATCGTGCTAATGTCGTCCTCCTCGACGCCCACGATCGACAGGGTTTCGCTCGGGTTGGGTGGCACGTTGTCCGACGCCGAACCGCCAGTCGCTTGCTGCTGCTGCTGCTGCTGCGGGTCCAGGACGGCCTCGATGCTCTCGTCCCGTTCGTAGCTGCTGCTGTCGCCGGCATAGGCCGATTCGTTCCGGTGCCGGTGGATGCTTTCGCTGCCCTGGTTCTGGTTCATGACGCTCGCGAGTGTCTGTCCGCCGAGGATGCTGTCCGTGTCCGTGCCGTCGTGGACCCTCCCCATTTCGTTGTCCTGCATCATCATCTTGAAGTAGTTTGTTTCGGGGGACGCGCTCTCGGCGTCCGTGTCGAAGGACTTTCTTGTCTCGGAGCCGTCCATTGTGTTGGTTGCAGACGAGTGGACGAGTCTGGTGCGGTGCGTTGCTGCACTTTTGTGATTTAGTTTGGTGGCTTAGTGTTCTTGTTGCTGGTATTGGCGTTGGTGTTGGTGGTCTCAATCGTTGTCGAAAGAATCGACGTTTTGTTCCTACTGGATGGGTGTTCCTCGAAAAGGCAGACAAAGAGGAACCAAAGGGTGCTTTTTGCGGTATGTTCACACGCTCTAGTTTGTTTTTGTTCTATGCATCGAGCACGAACCGCATTATGTGGAGTAAGGGACGCCGTGCCCGTGTCTTTTGCTTCGTGCCTCGTGCCTCGTGCCTCGTCGTGGAAACCCCCACCAGGAACGGAAAACGAGCCATCGGTCGTGCATTCGTGTGACATTGGATGGTTCGGTAGGTTTTCCTCCCTGGGCTGACTGCCGATTTAAGTTAATTTTTGTTTTGTGACACGTAAATGGCGCGACCGGCGTCCTACCGGAACAACGCGCCACCGTTCAGTTCGAAATTCGGCCACACTTTCGTGAATTTTTTTGAGGTTGTAGCGGGAACGATGAGCTCCGACGATAATTTCCCGGCTACGAGGGTTCTGTACGCAGGTTCCTGTAGCAAACMAGGAACTCCACAAACGCGCAWKAGGTAAATCGCGCGGTTATACGTTCGGCCAAAAGAAAGATCGCTGGGAGCATTGGAACACACGACCGTTAGACTTCTAACGGTACAGAAGTTGTCCTACCCATTTGATATCGTATGTATTACTTATAGATACTATACATATATCGAAACAGCTACGAAATGAAAAGAAAGTCTGTCCTTTTGACCCCCAGTTACAGTACGGAACATGCTCACAGAACACGACAGAAAAATCCCACATCACAATTCGTCAACGAAAAATCACATGAAAAATATCGCAAAACAAAACAAAAACCATCAACAGGGAACAAACGATCTCTGCCGCAGTTGATCGAATACGAAAAAGGCCTCTCCGCATTGCGCGTTCTTCCTACATCAGGCGAGAGGGACAGACAACGCACTCAAGAACGCTAACGGTTCGATCCAACAACAAGCAATAGAAGACGGTTGATAGCCACAAGACATCCTTCGGTCGATTTCTCTCGGCGTGTGCGTGTGTGCGTGTGTGCCTGCATGCAATGGAACAACAACAGGAACACCGTCGTCTTGGTTGTGATCCGTCCCCGTCCATCGCAGACCAAGGGATGAAGAGCACGACGCACCGAACGCGCTTGCTTCCGTTTTGTTCGAGCACCGCGAACGCAACGGCGGAGCACGACAAGAACGATGCTTGCAGAGAGAAGAAAGACGGTGCTTGGACAAGCCGTCCACGCGACAACCATCCCTCCCGGGTCTCTCGGCGGAGACGGCGGAGTTGGACGAAGGAAGAAAGAAACGCGCGATGTTCCACCAGAGGGCGTCGCCGGCTTTTGTTATGCGAGGGTCTCTTCTCCGAGAGATTCAGCCGCGGTTTCGTTTTGGTAGCGGTCGTCTTGTTGCTCTTGCACGAAAGAAAACCATTGGGAACCATGCCATGGTGCAAGGACACATCGAACGCCGGTGCCTCGATCCATGGAGCTGGCCTTTTGTTTGTTCGGTCCTTTACCTCGCCGCAACGGTCGTCTCGGGCGCACCAGAGCCGCCAACACACCATCACCATTTCATCGGATCGCCTGGCGACCACAAGGATACGGGGGTACTTGTACAACGGTGCTTTTACCTTCTCTTGCCGGAGCACAAGCGGCAACAATGGCAACCCCAGAGAGGACCCAAACACGCGGCTGTGCTGGAAGAGGGGGAAACGGCAACGATTGCAAAGAATTCACCACCATCGCCAGCGGTGTTCGACCCTGTCGGCCACGGTAGAACGAAACGGCTCGGACGCTACGGTGGCCCCCATCAACACGACAAGCCACGGCCCGATCTACCAAGCTGCCAACCACAGCCAAACCAACGGCAGCGGCGATTCCCGTGCCAGGGCACGCAACAATGCTGATGCCAGCACCGGCGGGGGCACGGTGGCGGTGCGCGACGCCGCTCCCGCGGGGGCCGGCGTCGTTCCCAGGCACGTCGGTTTTATCTGCGACGGCAACGGCCGCTGGGCCTCCCAGCGAAACCTCCCGCGGGCCGCCGGTCACGCCGAGGGCGCCCGCCGCCTCGTCGACCTGATCCAATCGCTCGTCGACGAGCGCAAGCAGCAGCGGTCGAGCAACAGTAACACCAACGCCAACAACGCCATTGCTGCGGGAGGCACCGAGAGTCCCCGTGCCCTGGTCGAGTGCCTGACCTTTTACGCCTTTTCGACCGAAAACTGGAACCGGTCCCCGCACGAAATCTCCAAGATCTTCGAGGCCATCGAGGTCCTCGCGAGGACCTTTTTGGTGGGCAGGCGGTCCCTCCTCGCCGAGGTGGAGATCAGGGTCCTCGGGAACCTGGACGATCCCCGCGTTCCGCCGGGCCTCCGCCGTGTCCTCCGCGAGCTGGAGGCGGCCACGGTCGGCGACACCGGAGGCGGATCCGGCGGTGGCACCACCGGCGGGACCCCGCGCCTCGTTGTCTGCCTGGCCGTCAACTACGGCGGCCGCCGCGACATCCTTTCCGCCTGCCGGTCCATCGCCACGGACGCGAGGGACGGCCTCCTCGACCCCTCGGAGATCACCGAGTCGACCCTCTCGGAACGCCTCGGGACCGGGAGCCGCTGCGACCCCGACCTCGTCGTCCGGACGGGCGGGGAGCACCGGCTCTCCAACTTTTTGCTGTGGGAGGCGGCCTACGCGGAGCTCTTCGTGGTGGACACCCTGTGGCCGGACTTTTCGTTCGAGGACGGGTGGAAGGAATCCCTGGCCTGGTACGCGGGCCGGAAGCGGAATTTCGGGGGCCGGGACGAACGTCCGGACCAGTGAGCGACGAACGAACGAACGCCGAACGACGAATATTCCGATGCCAGGTGGTTCAGAAACGAACCGGAGAGCAACGAGAGCATGCCGACACCCACTCACAACAACATCATCAACAACAACGCCGATCGGATGGACTCGTCGTGGATCCGAGAAGCATGGACAAGGAATCCGGTGTGGTTGGCACGAAAACGAGGATCTTTTTCTCGTTCTTTGCCAGGGATCGTTGGATCCCGCTGTGATCGGATACGAACGACGAGGATGGTTTTGACGTCCTTCCGCCGTTTACTTTTCATGGCAAAGAGAGACAGCATCGGTATCTTGTGGTGTTGGAGCTCGTCTTGTTACTATGATGGGTAGCAGATCACAAGAAGAAGTACCTTTCGCCGTCGCTCCGCCGTCGCTTGTGGTAACAACAAGGGGAAGGACTTCTGGCCTAACGGTACATAATTCCCTGCACATTTTTAAGCAATATGGGAAAATACAAACGTAACGAACGATTCAAGGCTAAATACACACTACACGAAGAAGGATGTAATGAGAACACCAAGGCTGGAATTGGATTGCGTAGCGGGCAATTAGCAATTATACAGGAAGGTGATGCTGCTATCTTTCATTCTTGCGACGTGGATACAGTGTTTTCTTTTGTGTCATTGATCCAAGATTCGACGACATTGATCTATGTACCAAGCCGATTCTCTGGCATGGCCCAATAGATTTTCAAGTGACATTCTCGAGAGTGGTTGGCAACGCTGGAGTCTTGTATCTATTTTTTGTAAGACAATATTACTGTCATTTACAACTATTATTGTGCACTAAAGTCACGATGAATATCAAAAACTAAAGACCTTGTGGAAGAAGAMGATAGATCGCAAATCCAACGCCTGATAGGAAACCAAGAATCACCACCAATTTGCTGAGGCATCCTCCACCCCTCTCCGCGTTTACCAAGTTCTTGAGAGCCAATCCGGCCCAGAATACTGCCCTTGATCGCGCCTCCTTTCTGGCTGTGTTGACGACTACGGTTTGAATGGAAGATATTCCGCCTTTGAAAACGATCGCCTTTTTTACTTTGGGATTGAAGGACAGTGCCCAAAGAGCCCTACATGCGTGTTCTTGAAGATCCGTGTTGCAAGCAACGGTGTGGTTGTAGTCATCGACTGCRTAGCTATGAGTGYCCAATGCTTTCAAAACAATGTCGATTCCTCCGGATCGAGCGATAAGCATTTGTCGTCGATTGGAAGATTGGCCAAAGTAATCCTTGCACTCGTAGCCTCCTCTGTGAGAAAGATTGGCTAGAGCTCGGCATCCCGCTACCTGAACAGCTAGATTCCGTTCGAAATCGGCCATGCCTTTGATGATAGCTTCTAGGCCACCAGCACAGGTGATGTCTCGCCGGCTCTCTATCCTCAAGTTGGCGTCCAACCTCTGCGCGCTTATGTTCGTTCCGACGTAATCGGCAATAGCGGCCATGCTTTGCTCGACTTCTTTCGCGGTTGTGGCCGTCTTGAGTGCCCGCACCTTGTAGAGAGCATTCGAATTTTGGTAATGATAGCCCATTCCGATGATCACGATAATGAGGAAAGCTTAGTCTTCGGAGTTCGGTTTTGGTTGGACCATCGAACTGGAAGTTTGTTGCTTTTTGGTTGTGATGGATCGGACTTGCGTGTCAAATGCGCCTGCCTCATCAGAATAGGTACGATACCGAGCAAGTGCCGCTAAGTGAGCACAGATTCTTTTTCGTCGCTGCCATCAGAATGAAACTCCGATCGGTAAATCAAAATCACCACCCGTGAAGTTTCAAACGCAGGTTTCTTTGGACACCAAAGAGCATTCGTTCAATACGACAACAAATGATTCATTCTTGGCTTCTCCGGAAAACCGGAATCGAATTCACGACGTAACAGCCAATGATTGATCCATTCCTAACTTCCCCGAAAAACCGGAATCAAATTTATTATGTGATAGCCAATGATCCATTGCCGGCTTCCTCTAAAATCCGGAATCGATTGCTTTGTGTGCAAGCAAGGTCGGTGGCGCGGAGCGCGGAGCTTTCGGCAACAACATATAGATCCAGATGCATATTYRCCCAACCACTATTCCTGYTTTYCGAAAAACAACACAARGAACACAGGCTCACAAATAGCTCTTCGGTCAACCACAGAATTTGGTCCTTTGGCTCGACGACCGCTCGTTGTTTTGGTCTCGTKGTGGCTTGTGTTCAGTTGCGCACAAGAGAGCAGTTCCTTTTGAACGACGGAGAAGTACCGAACAAATTATTCGAGGGAAACCTGGGTTTTGAACAATCAGTTTCCTCGAACCGTTAACGACTATTCCGTCGGCGAAATTTGGAGAGGCGCAGATAACAGTTTTTCAAAGCTTTGAACTACCATGACACTTTCAGATGATTTTGTACGGCTACAACAGGAGTCACCATGACCAAGAATACATRTAGAAACAAACGAGGGGTTTGTCGCGATCGACTGGAATACGYTTTTYACGCATCTCGTTGCGAGATGGTGGAGTCCGAATTGTTCAACCGTCCGATTCGAAGTGATCATCGGATGCAAACGCCGTCAATAATGCAGAAACGGGAGTAATACAGTTTTGCGTCTTTTCTATTGTTCTATTTTGCAKTCGAGTTATTTTTCGTTTCATGTATTCTATGGSTACACYGTATACAATGCGTTCGCTTCGACGTGTTTGAATCTAGTGCCAAAAGTAGGGCACGTCCAGGGATTTCTCCAGGACTTTCATTCGAGTGGAGGCAGRYTTCTCCGTGGACACAYRTGTCAGYACTTCGTCGTAGTGGTAGTCGTTGCCATCGCCGGAGCTGAGATTCGAAAAGGTCGGAACCAGGTTCCACTTCGGYGGCGAGGACAACGATTYTTCGCCGTCGGTGGACTGGCAATCCCGGCGGTTTCGTTTTGTAGTGTCTGCGTCCCTCGACTCGGCGTCCACCGCTTCTGGCTGTTCGGCCAGATCGATGAGCACGCGGCAGGCCCGTCGTTGGTGTTTTGCGTTGGTAAAACCCCGGGCCGCAGCCAGAGCCGCGATCGCTTTGGCAGCGACACTGTCGTTCTTTTCCTTCTTCTTGACAGTTCCCTCGAATTTCGACTTCATGCCTGAGTATGGGAATAGAATAACCTGGTGCTTGGTGTGGGTATTTTGTGAACTTTGTGTTGTGTCGTATTCAAGGTTGTTGTGGGTTCGTTAATGTTTGGAGAAGTGGAACATTCTGCTACGGTCGCAAAAGTGAGCAGTGGAGCATGGTACGAGTAGTATCGCTTGAAGGTTCCTAAGAGACCGGGGTTTTGTAGRGTAGGGTACCAAGTACGGTATGGTGTGATTGACGCCTTGCGAGTTGAACAAAAGAAAAACCGACGGCCAATGATGGTGTCATGCGTCATGTGCCGGTACCGTACTAAGAAGTACCAAGTACTGTACTTGCTACGAGTACTTGGTACTGCAACTACATCTGTTCCGCCATACTAGTAAATAACGTCGTACCGTACGAACATCACAGTGATTTATCGTACTACATGTAGGTTGTGTGATTAAGGACGGTTTTGAAAAAATCCCAAAACCTCGGAGTCGACTCCGGATGGTGACGCATCGATTTTGATGTCAAAAAAGACAACTAGAAGTCCGTACCGTACTGTACTTACCGGCCTTCACTTCGTAATGGATTCACGGACCGCCAAGAGTTCATACACTTGAAGAATAAGAATCATATGTACCAGTACGCAATCATCTTTCCTATCAATAAAGAAATTACTACAACTAATTCGAAGTACTTTGAGAAAACAGAGAAAATGAATGTATCGTCGTGTATTGTAATGTGTAGTATGAAGTAATGTGCTGGATCAAGAAAAGATACATGGGGTGGGGCAAAATCATGCGATGCAAAGATCTATCCGTTCCGTTCCGTTCATCCATCCATCCGTGCAAACACATTACGAGCATAGTAATATAAAATTTGTGGTATAAAGTAAAAAAGTAACATCGAATCAACACAAAACAAAACACAAACCAACTCTTGCAATGAATCACCGTCCCAAACGAAACAGTCGCACGACTGCTGGTTGGTTTTGCGGTGAAACAATGGTTTGGGTTGGGGTCTCGTTCTGGTTTGATGGTTCTTTCGTCGTCGTCCATTGATGGGGTTAGCTTATTCGCTTATTCTAAAAAAAGGTGGTTGCTGGCGTGGTTCGTTCGGCTTCTCGCCGGTCCGTCCACCCGCGGTGCTTCGGTCGGTGCTTACGGTTCGGCTTCGAAGTAGACCGAGTTGTGCCCGGGAGCCATATGGTTTTGTGGCTTGTTGTAGATTCCGTTGTCGCCGTCCTTCCAGCTCACAATCTCGTTGCACCAGTTGCCGATCTTGTCGCAAAAGGCCTGCATGGGAAGGATCGTGAAGGGCTCCTCCATCTGCGTGGCGAGCTCCTCGATACCAAACATAAAGAGGCTCAGGATGGCGGTCGTGGGGATCATCATGACGTGGTTCCAGGACTCCTTGAAGGGATCAAAGAGGGCGAACGGGAGGAAGGAGAGCCACACGAACAAGAATCGTGCGACGTGTCGGTTGTAAAAGATGGGAACGGGCGAGGTGAGGAGGCGCTCGCTGGATCCAAGGTTGTCTTCAAAGATGGTGAGGGCCTTGTGCATCTCGTCCTTTCGGATGAAGTGCATGGGGAGCTGCTCGATGGCCAGGGAGAGATCGTAGAGTGCGCGGTTGGGTCGGTGGGCCGCGTCGATGATGGCCTGGGCCTGCTCGGGATCCAGGCGCTGGTAGAGCTCGGCCTTGAAGTCCTCCTCGTCCTCCCACTCGGGGGAGAGGTGGCGCTTCATGGAGCGAACAAAGGCCCAGGTGCACTTGGAGAGGCGGTCGAGATCGGCCTCGCGCTGCTCGGGGGAGGACTGGCTGTCGTCGTAAAAGGAGGTTCCCATGCGGACGAGATCACGGGTGTGGTTGCTGCGAGACACCAAGCACCGCRGGAGCAACACCGGATGGGATTGGCGCAAAAGGGTGCGCGGAAACGAAAGYGGAAAAACACAAAACGGATCGCGAGTGAGCAAGACGAACACCTGGAAAAAAGTGGCAGAGCCYGTGGGACGGATCGAATTGGTTGGCGCGTGGTCGATCTGTATCGATATCGATCGTGCGAGAGCAAGACGAGGCGAAGCGATGAACGGATCCRTAGAATAAAAAAACCACGGTCGTCGCCTTCTCGGTAGACGCAAGGCGGCATTTGGTGGTTGGTTTCTGTGTTGCGGTACGTTCCGACAACCGACTTTTCCGTTCCGCTTTGTTCCAGCGGCTTGTTTTCGGGGATTCCTTTCGTTTCMACCCTTCGTGCTACCTCCGACAGCCTSGACAGGTCTGTTTCGTCCGGACCTCACCACTTTCACCGCAGTGTCGTTGGCAGCGGAAACCAGACCGGAGCCAAGGAGCCGTCCACAAGTTCGGTCGGACCAACGGATCGGCGGCATATTGTGTTTTGCTGCATTGCTTTGTGACGCACCGAAATCCGCTCTTTCCTTCCAATAACAGCGGTACCGGTTTGTGGCGTGTCTGTGGTTTCTCTCGCAGCGGACCGATGGTTGTTGTTTTTCCGTCGTATTGGTTGGATTTGCTCTCTGTCTCGCCGTTTCTTTGGAGGTTTCCGTTCCGATGGCTTCGCCTCGCTTTCAGTCGCGGTTCGATTCGATTCGATTCGATTCGATTTGATTCGATTCGATTCAATTCTTTCCAATACATTCGTTCGACAAACACATGCACCTTCGGCAACACAACAGGATTCGAATCCGAAAAGGCACTGCATTGCGCTGCAACGCACTACACTACACTACATTACTCACATGTTCATTCCCCAGTTCTTTCGGGCCTCGTCCCATCGCTGGTAGGCCTTGTTGGTGCGAAAGACCAGCAGCAGTCCCAGGAAACTGCTCGACAGGGTAAAGGGGTTCATGGGGAGGCTGAGGACGGGGGTGTACTGGCCGCGGAGGATCCCGGGGTGGACGGCGCCGGTGAGGTCCGTGTATTCGCCGGAGAGCATGTTCCAGAGCATCACCAGGGTGGCGATGAGGGTGACCGCGAGGACCTCACGGCCGACGTTCTGCGTTTTCAAAAATGGGCGGAAGGGAACGGGCAGATTTGGAATGGAGACCGGGACAGCGAAACAACACATCGCATCGTTGTTGGATCGAAAGGGATCGGAAGGAAATGTTAGAAACGAACCAAGAAAAAAAAAGCAAAGGTATGCACTGCAAATGCGGTTCTGTTCGACCGCTAACTTCTCGCATCGGATCGGTTTGTCTGCTGCATGGATGGTATCGCATCGTCTTCTCTCGCCTTTTCTCGCCTCGCCTTACCTTGTAGATTCCGGACTTGGTGGTCGACAAGATGTTGTTGAAGAATCGATCGGGGGATCGGTGCTTGACCCAGTCGTCGTGGCTGTAGACGGTCCGGCGGTACTTTCGGGATTCCTCTCCGTAGGGAATGTCCGAGTTGATGTCCGAGGCAAAGAGCTGGGTCGCTTCGGAAAGGGGGCTCGGAGCGACGGCAGCGGTCTTTGTCTTTCCCGCGCTGGGGACAAAGGCCGAAACGGATCCGGTGGTGGCGGCGGCGGCGGCCACCGCTAGGAGCAGCGAGGGGCTGGAGAAGAACAATCGGGCCATGGTTGTTCGTGGGTGTCTGGGGTTTTGTGGGTGTGAAAGCAGAGAAGAGGGGAGCGAGAGCGGTGGGGAAAAGATAGAGGGGATACGAGTACGAGTACGAGTACGAGTACGAATACGAGTACTACGGCGCTCGAGATCATCAACACAACAACAATCCTCATCATCCTCAGCGCAATCCAAAAAGCCAGAAGACACCACCACAACGAAAGACGCGATCGATGGCTTGGTTCCATCGTACGTCCGGTAGGTACTCGTACTCGTAACGGCAGCAGGATACGAGAACAAAGCACGGATACTGAACCGCGTCATGCAACATACCGTACCTAGAAGATTACCAGAAGGCACGTAGCAGCCAGAGAGTTCGAATCCAGCCAGCAAAATCTATTAGGGCCGTAGCATCGTGCTCAACCTACCGGAGATACGGTACCTGGTAGGGGGTTCCGATGCTGGTACGTACTTTCAGGCTTTTCTTTAGCCTATCAGATGGCAACGCCCTTGATGTTGTGACGTCACTGTGTGGGGGGATTCGAATTTTGGAGCGAAGGCTTTCACCCCCAAGCAGAATTAAATTAGATTTTAGGCAAAATAAATTGGTTTCCAAAAACTTACTGATTGGGGGTACGATGACGTCGAATTGTTGTTTGGACCCGGTTACGCACTTTCCAGTCCTGAATAACCACCCCTAAGTTGTAAAGTCGTTGTGAAATAAAATTCAACGTAGATTGAGTGAATATCGAAACATTCGGTGTGAGGGGTGCTTACGTGACGTCAGATCAACGACACGATTGGTCCTAGGGACTCGATGGATCTACGCGACGCGGGGGGGGGCCTCCTGTGACGACAGTGGTGGGGTTGCCTTCGGGCTTCGAAACTGAAAAGAAACAGAAAGATAGGGGGATGGATCGGTGTCGATGTCGATGATGCATGATGATGTTGGTGAGGATTCTGAAATGAAGGCACACACCCACCTAGAAACCCTACGAGTATTCGTACTGTAAAATAGCAGGAGGGATATTCGTTTGGCCTCAAGTACGTAAGGACTGTACGCAAGAGCACGTAAAGGTATGTATTTCCCGCAGTTTGGTACTACCGTACCTGGCAGTATTCGTCCTCGTACTGTACTTCGAACTCCTTTCCTACCGGTACCGGTAGGATCGGAACCAAAGCAAAAGGCAACGACAAACGAAACGAACCTTCAAAAAACACTCGAAAGATCCATCGACTTCCTTCCGAGACCAGGCTTCGAGGATACAACAAACATTCCGACGCGTTTGACCAGGAATTCAAATCGGATCCACACGGCAAGATAGATTAGGCACCGACCAAAGCATAGATCTGCAGAAAGAACAAACCGGAGAGCAGCCAACAACAAACAATTATCAGCGAATAGCATAGCATACAACAACCCACGATGATGAAACCCACGACAGCAGCCATTCTCGCCGCCCTGGCCCTCGCCGGCTCGAAGCATTCGGCCGAGGCCTTTGTCCCCAACCATTCCGCGACCTCGGCAAAGGCTACCACCACCTCCCTCTCCATGGCGGGGCCCGGCGACACGGCCACCAAGGACATTCCCTACGGTGAAACCTCCCGCCAGTTCCGCCGGACGGTCTACACGCACGACGACTGGGTCAAGCACCGATCGCCCAACCGGTTCGTCAAGAATCTCTTCTCGATCGGATCCTCGGGCATCTACAAGGTGCGTGCTTTGTTTTGTTTTTGGTTGTGTGGTGTGGTGTGGTGTCGTTTGGTGTGTTGTGTTGCGTTGTGTTGTGGGCCGTGTGCCTTTTGTGTTACAGGAAGTGCCCACGACCCTTGCGACGCCAAACCATTGCCCGCAAACGTTGTCGACTCACGGAATCCGAATTTTTTTCTCTTTTTCTGGCTCCTCGCCCACACGCCGTGTCGGAACTGCGTCCGATCGTTCCCCCCCCCCACACCCCCACCCCGCTCCCGCTTTGGTTGTTTCTCCTTACAGAACGTCGGACGGGAGGTCTCCACCACCACGACGGTTGCCACCATCATCTTTTTGTGGAACATGCTCACGGTGGGATACGACGACTTCAACCAGATCCACCACGCGCCCCTCATCGACAACTACTACGTCCCCGGCCTCACCCTCCCGCTGACCCCCTTCACCCTGGCCTCGGGATCCCTCGGTCTCCTCCTGGTCTTTCGCACCAACACGGCCTACCAGCGGTGGGACGAGGCCCGAAAGAACTGGGGTATGAACATGTGAGTATC